ATTAATACCAAGTGAAAAGTGCAGCAGGATGCTGCAGTATAATATTGTAGAACTGATTGCCAGATGCAATTAAACAGTGTGTCGAGAGCGTTATACTATTTGATTTTCACCCGTTTCTCATAATGGAACCCTCTGTATTCCTATCAGATGTGGGGTCGTGCTGATTCTAATAGTGGCGTGTTTACGTTTGCAACAGGCATGTCGTTAATTTGAATGCTTTAGTGAAAATTGTATTCTTCTCGGTTTATTTTTGTGGCTTATACGACGCTGTAGAATTATTATTTAATAAATTCCATATGGAGGCGGGGTCGAATACCTCCACCGTAGCCCTGCGAGTCCTAGGAGGCAACGAAAATGGGACACAGTGTCTGGGTGTATAACTGGGCTACCTTGTTCCGGGGGTGGGGGTATAAATACGGGGACCTGGCCCTCCAGGTTGAGGGTCGCGAATCTGAGACAGTAAGGCTGGGGCCACACGAGCGCACAAAATGCGTCTGTTGTAACGAACGTCGTGACGTCCTTTATAGAAATAAACAAGAGAGGCGAATGCCACGCTTTCTTCTGGCTTCATTGCAGACAAAAAGTACGCACCGCATTGTGCAACTGTGTGGTGTCCTCAGCAACGTCCGCCATAAAGTACGTTAGTTACAATGGACGCATTTTGTGCGCTCGTGTGGCCCCCGCCTAAAATGTCATAAATCCCGCGGGATTCGGACGTGAGATTGACTGCACTGGCGAAGACCAGCAGCAGTTGTAAACAACAGACTCGTGCACTCGTCAGAGAGGATGTTACATAAGGACTATGTCCGCAAGTGTTCATTTAAAAAAAGTCTATTAGCGAGCCTCAATGGGCTTGTCTCCAAGAATGGCGGTAAACCGCTAGTCGTAAACTGACTCTGACTCTGATTTTGAATAATTCATTTTAAGTGACTTTTCAGGAAGCGGTCGTGGCCTAGTCGAAATACTCTTCCTGCATTCGCCTGGAGGGAATGCGAAATACCTCGAAAACCTTTGTTATTCAGGATAGCTAGTGTCGCAACCAAGATTTGAACCGTGCACCTCCCGAATACAAATGTAAGGCGTTTTGCTCTCGACCGGCTGTTCACCCCACATGCAGGGGCTAAAGCTCAAGGCGATACGTACCGCAACGCCTGTCTCCAGAGAGGGGATACATTTTTTTATTGAACCGGGAAATCAGCACGTCCGTTCCACAACGCCGGATTAATACTTAGGCCATATAGCAACGCTATCATTGCCCGGCTGTTTGTTATGTGAAGTGGTAGAAGGCAAGGAAATGCACAAAACTGTTTATAATCGCCATGTCTGCTTCGTTGTCAAGCATGTGAGTTAGTATTTCGGTCGATATGGTGGTTGTGGCCTTTACGTCTCGGATTTACGGCTTTTCCTTGTCGACGCCGGATTAGTTTATGCCATCTATATTATTGATAATGGTGTGTGTGGTGTGTTATAATAGTTCCGCATCAACTGCGGAGGTTACATCGAATGAAACATAATGTCATGAGTAGCGGGTAGGCAGTCGTGGCCTATTTTGAAGTGTTATAACGACTTTCGACAGAGTCANGAAACATCTGCGTTAGTATTTCGGTCGATATGGTGGTTGTGGCCTTTACGTCTCGGATTTACGGCGTTTCCTTGTCGACGCCGGATTAGTTTATAACATCTATATTATGGATAATGGTTGGTGTGTGACGTGTGTTATAATAGTTCCGCATCAACTGCGGAGTTTACATCGAATGAAACATAATGTCATGAGTAGCAGGTAGGAAGTCGTGGCCTATTTTGAAGTGTTATAACGACTTTCGACAGAGTCATTGAGCAAACACAAACATATCTCGACCACTGTAGTTGGAGACCTGGTCGGAATTTGAGCCAGTTTCTGTTTGCCGTAACATAAGCATTTTCTCTTTGGTGAGGCCGCGCTGGTAATTTTGACAGCGCATGATAAGGAGCCGGGATAGCTTATTCGGTATACTGACTGGCTATGGGCTGGACGACCGAGGGGTCGGAGTTTGAATTCCAGTATGGTCAAGAATTTTCTGGTCGCAACGTCGTCCTGACCGGCTCTGGAGCCCACTCAACCTGCTATCCAACGGCTGCCTGGGACTATTTACCCGGGGGTAAAGCGGCAGGGGCGTGAAGCTGACCACTTACCTCCGTCTAGTGCCGAGAGCAAGGAAATGTGGATTCATACATCCACTTCCCAATACGCTGTCTTGACGTAGTGCTTAATTAATTAAACACGGGCAACTTTACCTTTTTGTGCTCAGAACACTGTGTTATTTCCCATATCACGGAACTTAGTTTATAAGCCACATCTTCAGAGACTGATTTCTGTCACATTAACCACGAGTATTCAAATCAAGGACGCCAAGTGGCTAATTTTAATTTGCGTGTGATTAGGGTGTGGGAGCTGGATTGACCTTGCCGACCGAGAACAAGATCCAGTGGCTTGATTAAGTGATGATTATTCAGCACCCAGGTTCTTTCAGTACAGAGAGCTTCTTAATCGGTTTGATGATTGACGTGGGCAGATTCTGCCTGAGGATCTGCAGAACTGAACAGACTCGAGGATGTTGTCTCATCCTCTCTTGCTGTGAAGAGATGGCGCCAGGTGCATAACGCCAGTAGGATCGGTAGTTCCCGCAGCCTCAACTTCTCTGCTGACATCAGAGATTTACCCTTCTTCCTCAGGATTGTTTCTTAAGCAACTGGGGCTCTGTGTAAGGATCTCTTGAAGTTCCCGCAGCCCCAACTTCTCTGCTGACATCAGAGATTTACCCTTCTTCCTCAGGATTGTTTCTTAAGCAACTGGGGCTCTGTGTAAGGATCTCTTGAAGTTCCCGCAGCCCCAACTTCTCTGCTGACATCAGAGATTTACCCTTCTTCCTCAGGATTGTTTCTTAAGCAACTGGGGCTCTGTGTAAGGATCTCTTGAAACTAGTGCCATCCACTGACTTCTGCATTCCCTGTGAATAATCCCGGCATGTGCGTAAAGTAAGAGTGAAATCACTGATGCCGACATTGGTGATGTATGGGTTGTACAGAATTTCAAGTAATTGTATTCACTAGTGAAATTATGTTGAAAATTCAATACGAAAATTTGACACTTCCCATCTGTAACTGAGTTTTCCATAGATAATGCATCAATTAACGCACTGTTACGTATTATTACCGTTGGTGGATAGTGTAAAGTCACAGTTTCACAAAATACGAGATAATGAAAACAATATAACGAATCTGGTATCACTGTGGAGCATGCATCCCTGCCCGATGGCGAGCGGTGCCGCTTACAGGGACGTGTGTGAACTCAATAGGATAACAGTCTTGCCTTGACAACGAATGCAGAGCGGTTGTGCTTTAACTGAAGTAGTGTTTGAATAACTCATCGTGACAATGGGCAGTAAATGTTTTCAGCAATGAATGAACACGAACTTCTTGTACATACTAGGAAAACCCAACCCTAATTCTTTGAATTGTTAAGTGTTGAGGTTATGTCTAAGAGCGCAAATTGTTGAATGGGGTAAACGGTTTTCCTAAGGAAGGGACTTAATTGAGACTGACAGCCGGCCTTAACGTCCAGCGACGTATTAAGAGACATGATGATTCATTTGAAATCGGAAATAAGACTACAAAAAAAAATCTCCGTGGCCTGTAGTCCGCAAGCGAACTATACCGACCAAGCAACCGCCGCTTGTCGACGAAGTTAGTGCTAACTTTAGCGAATAGAAGGTGTCGCGTGGTCAGCGCAAAGGATCCCCACGTCCGTTGATCTCGGTTTTCTAGACCGGAGCCGCTATTTCCTTGAAATAGCTCCTCAGTTATCCCTACGAGGCTGAGTGGACCCTATTCCAGACCTACTACTTCTCAGAAAATATGGTAGCCCCGGAAATGGAACCCGGGACCTCTGGATCTGTAGTCAGGCGGTTCTCAAAATCGGAACAGAATGTTGAAAATGTGAGAACGCTGATGGGGAATGGCCGACGCCTTACTGTCACGATTGCAGAACTGGATATCAGTATAGAGACCGTACGTTTGATTTTGGTGGAAAGTTTGGCGATGAGGAATGATGGTGCAGAATTAGTGCCCAAGAATTACACCAATAACCAACTGCAGCGAAGGAAGGAAATTTGCACTGACTTTTGCAACGAATCTATGAGAATAATGAGCGTCTGAACATACTAATAAGTGGGGATGTATTGCGGCATGACTCTATGACAGAGCAGCAGAACAGGCTACAGAAATCTCCAGGCTCTCCCCACCTCAAGAAAGCGTGGATGCCGAAATCAGTTTAAAGTCAATTTTGATTCGTTTGACTGCAGAGGGGCAGTGCACCGAGAGTTTATCCCACATAGCCCTCCTGTCAGCCAGAAGTTTTTTATTTCCAAGCTCTGGAACGTCCCAAGACAGTTGGCTTACTTTTATATATAGTCAATGCTCGAAAAAAATGTACACTTTTAATTTTCAGATCGCCAGCATATTGCATTTATAACTCGCCAATAATGCTTGATTTAGAGATTTAACATTTATTCTACTGTGAATTCGTGTTTGAAAACGGTTTATATGGTTAGTGTAAGTCCGTGACATCACCAAACACGCAAAATAAATTTTGCAAGCTGATAAGAACACTGAAATTTCGCCATAAGTGACTGTACATTCACCAAATTACTTATCGTGCGCCACACAATCGTCAGGCTTGCGCCTTGTTGATCATTAATGTCGAACATAAGTGAATCGATCAATCGTACGTAATTTTATTACTTGTAGTACGAAATATATGCCAGATGATCTCAGATGGCGTCTAGTTCACGGATTAATTAAATTAACACACGTGGCCGTTGCGATGTGTGGGAAGGGCCACTGACACAGTCGAGTGGGATTGCTAGCGATATTACTTCAGACTATTCACAGCTTCCAGCAGCTGCAGTTGAAGCGTGTTGTGTGCAGTAATTAAATGAAGTGAAACTGATTGTATGTTACAGAAGCTGCAAACGATAGGAGAGGATTTCTGCGGCCTTGATGTTAACACGCCGCTGGGGGGTGAGCAGCCCATTGCTGCAGTGCCCGTGCTTGTGTTCGGCTCCCATCTGACAGCCGTGGCCGCCACTTCCACGGGCGACTACACCGTCGTCTTCCTCGGCACAGCCAACGGCCATCTCAAGAAGGTATGTTGGTCCACGGGAATTATTGTGGTACTAATTGCAGCGGTAAAGAAGTACTGCGGCATGTTTAAGGGCTGGATTGCTCCCTACTTCTGGCGGCGTGATAAAAATATGCAGCATTTCCCCTTCATATACACACATTTGCCCTGTACTGATAAGACGTATGTAAGTAGAAGCATACAAATGAGTACTGGAACCGTAAGGCTCAAAAATAATAATTTAAATTTAATTTATTACAATGTTACATGCAAAAACTCGCAATTTTCTTTAGAAGTTTCTTTTTCGGTCAGTCGTTAACTCGTATTTTGGGGAATACCGGCCCCCATGCCGCCAGTTGGACAACCCTGACCTGTGTGATTCTTGGTCATCGGCATGCAGCATATTAAAGGAGTGCTTTGGAACAGTTGGATTTCATCATTATGCATCGGTTTATTTGACGAGCATTATTCAGCTTAGAATTTAACTCGACGATAGCATATGTACGTTTCGGAGGAACGTATCGCTTCCGTCTTCAGGATAGAAAAATCCGCAAGCGAGGAACCAGCGTGAACAGGTCGTCGCAGATTAAGTCACCAGTCGAAACTGACTGCAGCCACTGCTCACGCTGGTTCCTCGCTCGCGGATTTTTCTACCCTGAAGATGGAGGCGTTACGTTCCTCCGAAACGTCGGTCACACAAGATGTACACGGCGCCACATCCCAGAAGTCGGCATTCTTAATAGACACCGCCTTGAAATCTCAAATCTTACAAAATAACATTTCTCAAAATGTGGTTGTATGTAATGTCATTTTGTGTTAATTGACAACTCAAAAGTCTCGTGAACAGTTTAGAACTAAATTTATCCTGGAATTATGAATTCCCAACTTATTAATCAGTTCTTATTCATTTAAATTTTTGGATCCTCTGATCACATGAAATTTAGAATTCTTACAAAACGTGGTGACTAAAGCACATGGCTGTAACCACTTCCATTGTGCAGGGTATTCATTGGAAAGTATGTACTTATTCAAATGGCTAGGAAAATCCTGTATGGAGTGTTGTGATTGGACATGTCCTGAACACTCATTTCAGTCGACACTCTCACACCCTGTTTCTTTTGTTAATAACGTTTCAGTGTTCGTTTAGGTTATCCTTTTTGTCTTTTAAGATTTTCCCGTCAAAGTGTTGTGTGCCGTTCCGTCTCGACTTCTCACCCGTATACAGGGACAACTCTACTTTTTTAACCTTTAACCCGTAATTCAAAAGAAACTCTCCTCTTCAGATTATTCACCTACGATCGTGCAATAGTTTAAACGTATTATTGAGGTGCTCCGAAATTTTCATGCTGAAGTGAGGCTACTTTGAATTAGTTACTGATTTTTAGTGGGGGGGGGCACACGGTAGGGTAGTCGGTTGAGACACTATGCTACAAGCCGGAAGGTCGCGGGTTCGAGTCCCGACGAGGTGATTTTTTTTTTCAATTTACCTAATCCTTCCAGCCGCACTATGGCGCTGGGTCTCTAACAAAAATGAGTAACGGGAATCCTGTGGGGTAAATGGCGGCCGGCGCTTAAGGCTGACAACCTTACCGCCATCTGTGAGTCGATTGTCAAGAGAAAATGTGAGAGCCTCGACGTCTCACAACCCTATGGGCCTCCATGGCCTGTTACAGGGATAGCTTTTACTCTTTTTTAATAATCCCATTTACAGCAGATGCCTCTTACCTCTGTTCTCTTCACTTTTAGCTCACGTAAATTGTTCTTTAGGTGCCTCTTACCTCTGTACTCTTCACTTTTAGCTCACGTAAATCGTTGTTTGCGTCTTGCAGCCATCTCAGTGTGAGCATTCTCACTTTTCTTCTACCTTCTGATCTGCTTAGAAAAAATATTTTAGCCAACCTTGTTTGAACCAATTGCAGACATGTCCCAGCCACACGTAACTCACTGCCCATGTAACATTTTCCCTACTCGTTTCTGTACATTATCCATTGGGAATCCATACTATTTTCCGTCATGGGCTTGTTTGCTTGACGCCAACCCCGAACCTGAAGAACCCGGGATTATCTTACCTGTCTAACGTGAGTGACCCTACCAGGAGCCTGCGCTGTCGCTAGCATAACTGCCCAGGCTATCATGGGAAGTACTTGAATGCTTGGTGTTGCTTAAAGGAGACGTATTACAATTAATTTTATTTGAATTAATAGAAATACGCGAGCGAATTGGCTGTCAGGATGAGGTATAAATCGTGTAGCGTGTGTATATTACTTCAAACACGGTGTCTTATCTCGTATGAAGGTTTAAACCCGGCCCTTCGAAGGGATTGAACGCAGAACTTCACTTCCGGATAGTCTTCATTTACTGGTCAGAATCTCGAATATATGTGAGAGCCCACAATAGGCCACCATCTACCGGTGACTTCATACACTATACTGTCACTCGCAGGGGTGACTATAGACGGGGTTTTTTATTGGATTTATTGACACCTCTCATATTCAGCGCGAGACTCCAGGCAATTGTAGCTCTACCGCTGTTTCAGTTCACAAGCGCTAGGGTTCTCAGTCTTTAGTACCCTATCCTGGCAAGGGATTCATAACAATCTACTGTCACTTAAATCACATATGAAGTCTTCTTTTCGCAGCCCAATTCCTTTCTTGCCATTATTCTGCAACTGCCAACTCAGTTCAGTTCCTCTGCTCCCAAACTCATATCCCGGCAGTGTGACGCCTGGAAGTTCGACTGTGCTCTACACTGCCAGCTTCTGAACCGTTCTTTATAACCACTTTTCATGGACCACGCAGAAAACAGAACCTCTGTATTGTTGGGAAGGCGGTTTACTGAGCCGTTACATAGCAACGGAAGTTACTCGATTGTTGCTTGCGTATTCGTTGCTTCGGTCATTTGTTTACCGAGTCGTTGCCCAGCAATAGACATCTATTCTGATGTCACCATTCTGGCATCATGTCACAAAACATTTGGTGTGGTTGGTTTGTTGTCGGGATTAGTGTAACATAATTACTGTTCTCTTAGGTTCCGTGACGTGATCTCGGGCGTCCGAGAAGACTACTACAAACTTTAAGATCATACATGCTTCTGGACTGTTCACATTGCGCGTGGGTTTGTTTTGCGTGTGCCAGAGCGAGTCGACGGAATCGTTTTCCCCGTGAACATTGATAAGGCTGTGAATTTTCGTGAAGAACTAAAGTCAGTTGGAATTCCGGACGGGTGGTGATGTGACCGAGGGCCCGGTGATTGACGTATCATCCAGTTCCATGCTGTATGCAAGCCCCAGCGGAGCGAACTGTTTTTGAGCGGTTTGAGAGGCAGCAGACTGTGAAATTGAAACATTCATATTCAGCCACCATGTGATGGTTTGAGACTTCTCCATGCCTGCTGCCAATATTGGCATCACTGTTCGATACCTTGAATCCGTTAGCTGGACTTAGAGATTCTTCTTGTTCCAATGCCGGCCCAACCAATTAATATCCTCATTAATCTGGTTTCTTTAATTGACCACCATTTTGATTTATTTTTACATCCGTTTCACAAATGATACCAAGTGACTTTCACACGGCATTTCACTTAGTAACTCGATGGTTGACTGCTGGACCCACGGGTTCTGTTCGAAACTGTGTTCCTTCCGTTATCATGGAACACTGATGTATTACAGAGTAGGTAGTCGTTGAGATAGACGGTCTCGGAGCCCTTCTGCAGCTTGTCAGTTACCCGATTGGAATTATGCATTGTATAAAGTAAGAAGACATTATGTCGAAAGCGTCTGAAGAAAATCCAGAGTATAAGACGAACTCTGATAATTACAAAATTACGAACTTGACATTGGCTAAGCCCGGCTTTATTTCTCATGCGAACTTCATGCCTGTGAATGTTAGCAAATGAATTTGGGCGGGTGTTTTCCTAACTACCTCCAGGCGAATGTACGAATAGTACCTTGAAATAGGGCACTACCACTTCCCGTCATTTCATATTCATCGTTCATTAATCGTAATACAAAATGGCATCAGTCTGAGGTACGCACGTTGTAGTTAAGTAACAGCGATGAATAAAGCAAATAAATATCATAGCTTTTAGTTTTACACGCTGATTTCTTTATGTTTATTTGATGACGTTCAGTAGCCCGGACTGTATTATGCTGAATGGTAAGACGATTAATGAATACAGAATTGGAGAAGCCGTGGATTGAAGCGGTCATGGCAGTATTGGACACAACCTCTTCGGAATTTGCTTGCAGGGACTGAGAAAAACCATGGAAGTCTTCGTTCCCTGTCGCCGGGCAGATATTTGAATCCAGGCTTCCCAGATACGAAGCTAGAACGCAGCACATTCGGCTCTGGTCACGTGTTGGGTATGTCAACTATTCGTCGAAGCGTGTTTTAAGTTCGTAAACTAATTCTGACACCAAATTGTCACGTGTTTGGTATGTCACGCGACAAATAACTTCACGCCATATTGAATATAGTGAATTTATTCTACTCGCTCCTACACTTATACAATTAACAGTTTTACAACTAGTGCCATCTGCAGTTTCACAAATACTTCTGCTGTAGTTACTGCCATGCACTCGATACAACCCGACTCAGCGACTGCTAGATTGAAACTGACTGGTTACTCAATACTCACTACTCAGTCACTACTGAAATCCAAGTCCAAGTCACATTGCGACTGACAGTCCGTCAGTCTGTCTGTCTTGGTGTCGAGCCCCGACTGGGGCTCATGACCAGATTTTCTTTCTTTCTTTCTTTCTTTTTTTTTCTTATATGAAAGTTACTGTCCTGCTCATTTGGGGCGCCCTCTCTGACGAGACGTCGGGTGTTCGCTGCTCCTTATTTAGGCTCGGCACGGACAACACAGAAAACAGTTACGTGATAGGTACGACTGTTGCGTAACGTCGTGTTTACCGATTGCCTAGTAACAGTCGTTGCACGGGATCCCCTGTTGCATGACGCCGTGTTTACAAAGTCGTTGCTGGGCAACGCTGCCGAGAGTTGTTTATTGCTGCGTAGCAACCGC